AGGGCGCTGGCGCGCCTCCTCCCCCTGGGAGCGGTCAGCCTGACCCTGGGCAGCACCCTGCTGCCCATCGGCCTGGGGGTGCTCATCCGATACCGGCACCCCCGCGCCGCCGACCTCCTGGTTAAGGTAGGCACGACCCCGGGGATGGGGGTGGTGGTGGGGTCTCCGATGGTAGTAACCTTTACGATCCCTCCGAACCGATGGGAGCTTCACACGGGCATATTCTCTGCGATTTAGGTGGGATGTATGGATGTGTAGGCTTGACGTTAAAAGGTGGGATGGAGACGGAAAGTGAGGGGAAGGGCAAGTTACCCAGCGCACGGTGCTGCACTCTGGGAGGCAGCCCGGGCCCTGGCGCAGAGGCGTTCCGTGGTATCCTGCTCTCTCCCTGCTCCCGCTGCACGCAGGGCGAGTGAAACCAGCCTGCAGGCGCAGTGACACCTCCTTAAAATAAGCAAACAAATTAGCTTAATCACAGAAGGAAAAGTGAAGCACAAGTCCTGGCTTTCTAGTTTCCCAGCATGTCACCCCAAAGCAAAATGGTGGAGGGCGACCTCAGCCCCTTCCTTTCCCGGGATATGGTCAAACACCACCAAAGTCCCAAGGTGGGAGCAAACCTGGGAAGGTTTCACAACGACAATTTGCGATTTAGACTCTCTATCAAGCCTCTACCTGCTATGCTTATCCTTTCAAACTAATAACCCCCGTGTTGTTTATCGATGTCTGTATCTGTTGCCAGATTTCCCTCTGGTCCCTCTTGGTGACTCTGGTGATCCTGTTCATCCTGACTGGGACCATGTTGGGCCCAGATCTGATGGCACATATTCCTGCGTCTGTCTACGCCATTGCGGTGCTGATGCCTCTAGCGGGGTATGCCTTGGGATACGGCTTAGCCACCGTCTTTAAAATGCCCCCGCACTGCAGGAGAACAGTGTCTTTGGAAACAGGGTGCCAAAACGTCCAGCTCTGCACCGCCATCCTAAAACTCACCTTCCCCCCAGAGCTCATAGGGAGCATGTACATGTTTCCCTTGCTTTACGCGCTTTTTCAGTCGGCAGAAGCGGGACTCTTTGTGCTGGCGTACAAGATGTATGGGAGAGACAGCTACAAACAAGATACGCTCGGTGAAGAGGAAGACACAGATATTTCCTACAAGAAACTGAAGGAAGAGGAGGTGGCCGATACTTCGTACGGCACAGTGACCACAGAGGAGCACAACTCCATTCAGATGGAGCCGACGCAGACGGCGCTGTAGGCGAGATAAGGAGGTGACACCCGGGGATGTGTATGTGTGTTGTGCTTGCGACCAGGCTGGGGTCGTGCTCGCCGCTGCGCAAGCAGAGCTGCCCGGCCTCCCATCATTTCTCCAGCCGCTCCCATTGTGCAAGGTGATGTGTGTTGATTACCGTCACAGTATTTCCTCAAAAATACATATAAAAAAAAAAAAGAAAAAAAACAAAAACAAAGGAAAAAGTATCACCATGACGCAAATAACCGTACATCTTCACGCAAGGAGGCTGCTGCCCGCTGGAGTGCCGCAGGAATGGGCAGGAGGAAGGAGACGAGCGTTTTGCAGAGGTGAAGCCAACACGGACAAACGGGCAGACCGCCTCGCGTGTGCGTTACCTCCGTGCCTCCCACCCGCTGTAAAAGCATTGTGCTCGTTGTTCTCACCACAAATACATGGCGAAGCCGAACCAAACCCGTGTTCCCCGCTGATTAATCCCGCGGAGGGGGGAGGGCAATTAAGGGCCGCGCTGTCTGGTTCACCAGGGGAGCTGTGCTGAGGGTGGTGGGGTGGGGGATGCCCTGCCCGAGGCCCCGCACCCGGCGGGGATGGGAAGGGGCTGTCAAGGCCGGCGCCCGTCGGGGGCGAGGGAAGGCCGGCCCCGGTC